CCCCCGGCGGCCGCCCGCCGTCTGCATCCCCGAGCAGACTCTTGGGAGCTGCCAGGCTGGTCCTGGGAAGAGGGGGAGGGCTGGGGGGCATGGGGTGTCAGGTGCAGGGTCTGGGGGCAGGGTGCTGGCAGCCTTGCAACTGGCACAAACTGTGTAGCCAGCCCGTGCCCCTTTAAGGGGTCCCAGGGCCGGGAGGGGGGCAGACAAGTTTCCCTGGTGTTGGCCAGAGTGGCCACCAGGGAAACCTGGGAAGGGCTAGCCTCCCACTAGTCCGAATTAAGGGTCTACACAGCCCTTAATTCGAACTAGTAAGTTCGAACTAGTAAGTTCGAACTAGGCTTAATCCTCGTGGAATGAGGATTACCTAGTTCGAACCAAGCACTCCATTAGTTCGAATTAAATTCTAACTAACGGAACGCTAGTGTAGCACCTTTGAAAGTTAGTTTGAACTAACATCCGTTAGTTCGAACTAACATTGTAGTGTAGACATACCCACACTGGTCTAACAGAGAATAAGACCTCACAAAGCTTTTGTCACTCCTGTCCTGGGATTGACGCAGCTACAGCAACACCTCACACCAGAAGATAGCTGCAACTTTTTGGAAAGTTTTCTTGTGTTCTGTCAAGACAGCATCTCTCAAAATCACTAGGGGCAGAAACATCACAGGTCTCTGGGAGATAGCTATAAGTGAGATCTGGTGCACAGGGCTGACTGGTAAATTGTGGGATAATTCTGAATGAGCCCAATCTGAAATCCTTCATTCTGTTCCTACTCACCATAAAGCAAAGTCCCACTGATCCTCAGAGCCTACAGGCCAGATTTTTAGAAAGGATATTTAGTGACTAACACTGCAGATAGGCCCCATGGGGGATTTATAGTGTGTCTGCTGCCAAAATCCCAGCAGCTTTGGAAAATTGCACTAAGCACCTGCCTGCATTTCTAGGCACTGAATGCCCTTTAAAAGCTGGCCCTGAGTCTTTTTTTTTTTTAACATGGCACTTAAGTCGCTAAGTCACTGAGGTAGTCTAGAAGATATAACCCATAGGCTAAAATCCAGACCCTTCCTAAGGAGACCAGGGAATGGGAGGATCTTCTCAACTTTGTCGGAATTAGAGTTAGCCCACAGAATTCCCCAGACTGTGTTCACATTTTCATATTTTGGACCAATTACTAATAGAAAATTACGAAGTCTCTGGTACCCTGTAGACCTGGCATGGAGGCATTTATGGTGCCTCAGTAGTTAACATTGCAACTATGGGGTCATTGTAAGTTTTATTTAAACTTCTCTTGGTTCAACATTTCATAGGAGTACTATAGTCTTATGAAAACAGCACAAGGAAGAGGAGAATATTTCTCTCATTCCAAAAATTTTAGCTGCTTCCCCAGCACTTGGAGCTAGGGGTAGTGTTTAGTCTTAACCTTTTCCTGGATTTTGAGAGTTTCAGTGACAAACCTTGAATTTTCTGTATGCGGGGTAGGTGTGGGAGGTGAAGTGGAGAGTGTTACATGCACTTTCCTTGTATTTAAAAATAAATAAAAACGATGGGGGAAAAACCCTTAGTAAAAAGACACATCATTGCTAGGACTCAAACTCTACAGATTTAAAATATATTGGCCCTTGCAGGTGTAAATTCCCTAACTCAGTGTAAATGGGGAAATGGCCCCTCTATTGGGACACACTTTCCTGGCTTTTACACTACCCTGGTGAAATGGGCCAGTGAAAGGATCTGAGTCCCTGTTCCCACTTCCTTTACTCAGAGCCCTCCCTGACCTCAAAGAATTTGGTGATCCCAACTCTTACCATTTAGGAGGGAGTTTTTGAACAAACAACTCGCAGATAGAAAGACAAATGGATTCAGAGAGGACAGACACATAAATCTCTAAAATATATAGAGAGATTAAACAGCAACTATTGTAAAGAATGGGAAAGGTAACAGGAATGCACGTAACCCCGCTCTGTAGGCACAACGACACCACAAACAGCCATCACAGGAATGTGAGGGAAGTTCACAGTCTGTCCCTCACACATTCCAGGCTCCCTGCCCAGCACTTGTGCCACATGTCAGATGCTGCATGTCGGACTCTTGATTTGGTGGTGGTCACATGCCTTTAGGCTCTAAGTGGCAGGGCCCTTTGCCCACCCTCCATCAAGGTTACGATTCCCCTCCAAGTCTGGCCTGAGAGGTCCCTAGGCTGGTGGTGTCTCCCTGCACTGGGTTTCTGCCGAGGGTCCCCCTTGCTCTCCCCAGCTGCTCACTGCACCCAACTCCAGGCTGCTTAAGTCTCTGTTTAAGCACTGCTGCTGCTTAAACGCTGCTGCTGCTCTCTGTCTTCAGCACATCTTCCTGGGTTGCTTCTCTGGTTCTCTCTGGCTCTGGCTGGCCCAGGCACTTCTCCCACCTCAGCTCAGGCTCCTTTTCTTGCCTTAGCTCTGCCCCAGGCAGCGCCAGTTCATAGGGAAGACAGAACCCCTGACCTCCTGATCCTCTCATTGGTCGGCCTCCCCTGTCAATCAGGCTAATCTGGAGCAATGAACTCTCCCCATTGCTCCTAGGGATTGTCATCTCAGGGCCCTGATTTCCCATCAGCCCTGCCCCTGCGTTTTGGGAGTGGGAAATGGCCAACCAAAAACACTTACAAAGCGTTCAAGCAATCCCCTTACACTGATAATACAAGTGCTCTGCCTTGTACCGCACCCCTGGCAAGTACACAGCACAGATTCTCTCTCATCTGAACCTCGCCATGGGGAGGGAGCTGCACACACGGAACAGATCCTTTGGTGCCCCTTTCTGTAAAACTGTGTCTCTGTCTCAGCTGGAGCTGCATGTTTGCAGTGGAATGAGAGGAAGTTGTTCCCCACCCCATGCTGAAGGTTGGAGGGGAGGATTGGTCTTTCCGTGGACCTTACAGCAATGTCCATTCTTGTGACTAAGCCCCCTCTGCCTTGGATTTAGGTGCAGGGCCAGTCCACAGGGCCAAACCCAGCATCCCTTCCTCCAGCAATCACTGACAGACAATGCAGGTTGGGCATCAAACCGCTGCTGGTCTCTTTGGAAATCCTAACAGAGAAATCACACTGTTTCACTGACAGACAATGCAGATTGGGCATCAAACCGCTGCTGGCCTCTTTGGAAATCCTATCAGAGAAATCACACAGAAGCTTTAAACTGAAGCTAGTGGTTCTAGGAGACAGACACGTTATTTGCAGACAGGCAAGTTTGCTAATTCAATGGGATTTCTTTAATTTTTTCCCTGACAATGAGTTTCCCAAGTATTTTTCTCCACAATGGCAGGTGCCAACCACGGCCACAGGACCCTGTGGGGCAGGCACGGCTAGTGACCTAATGAACAATCACATCACATGGAAACTTCCAGCAGGAAGCTTCTGGCTGGGTCACAGATCCCTCCCATTTGAACCCCCGCCCCGGCCGCAGGTCCCACAGGTGGGCTCAGACCCTCCCTGTCACTGGCTCACATTCAGCAAAGGAACCGTAAAACGGGAGCCACTCAGAGAGAAGGACGAGGTGCTGGGATCGTGGTAAATGCGACAATGAAACCACTTCCCAGTCACAGGGGATGGCCAGTGCCCGGGGAGGTGAGCAGTGATAGTTGCAGCTCAGTATCAGCAACAGTAACAGGACTGGCTCTGGCTTTGGTTTATTTCTCACTAGGTCACAGGCCCAGGACACCCTCTGGGTCCAAGCCCTTTGGTCTCAGGGGACTGGCCGTTCAGGACTGAGGGGGCTGGTTCTTACCTGAACACGTCACTCCAGCATCCTCTCCATGATAACAGTAATTCACACCCCAGGCTGTGATAACAGTAATACCAACCCCATCTCAGGTTCCCGCAGTCCCAGAGAGCAGACTCGGTACCATGACAGGGAACATTAGCCAGCCAAATTTGTCCAGATCCTTGTCCAAACTGAGCTCTGCCAGGGGCGCTGACGGCAGCTCCACATCCCAGCTGCCTGCAAACCACCCCAGCGTCTTTAATGTCCCAGTTATCATCACAAACTGTCCCCCACTGGTCCTGGTGTTTAACCTCCACTCTCCCGGCACAGGGGCTGCCTCCATCCGCCAGCCTCAGCTCGTCAGCACCTTCAAAGAGACACAGGGCAGGGGAAGGGT